GTGACACAGCCTTTAATACACAGTAGGTGCTTAATAATGAGTCATTTGAATGATGAACCCCTGGGGAAACAGATGAAAAGTGTTGGGTGGAGAAAGGTGCCTTGAGCTGGCCAGTCAAGACTGCTTCTCATCAGTCACTTCCCTGGGCCTCCTTCTCATGCTAGTAAGTTACAATATTAGTTCACTGTGTTTTGTAGTAAGCCTCCTTAACTGTAGTGAAATAAAGGCATACAAAAAAAAATAATCCCAATTAAGGCTATGTGTGTCCGTTTAGGGGAGAGGAGTGTATCCCCAGCAAACACTTCCTCTCCAGCTGGGAGAGCCTTGCACGCAGACTCCAGGGTGGTGCCCAGAGGGTCCTGAGCAGCCCAGAAGATGGCATCACCTGAGGGTTTGCTCTGAGGGCTTTCTTGTTTTCTATTTCTGCTTGAATGATGTACCCATCCACGAATCCATTGAAACTTTATTGAGCACTTGATGCCACACTTATGGCAGAAAGTGAAGAGGACTAAAGAGCCTCTTGATGAGTGTGAAAGAGGTGAGTGAAAGAGGTGGCTTAAAATGCAACATTCAGAAAACAAAGATCTTGGCATCTGGTCCCATCACTTCATGGTGAACAGATGGGGAAAAAGTGGAAGCAGTGACAGATTTTATTTTCTTGGGCTCCAAAATCACTGCGGATGATGACTGCAGCCATGAAATTAAAATATACTTGCTCCTTGGAAGAAAAGCTATGACAAACCTAGACAATGTATTAAAATCAGAGATGTCCTTTTGCCAACAGAGGTCCATCTAGTCAAAGCTATGGTTTTTCCAGTAGTCATGAACAGATGTAAAAGTTGGACTGTAAAGAAAGCTGAGCTCCAAAGAATTGATGCTTTCACACTGTGGTGCTAGAGAAGATACTTGAGAGTCCCTTGGCCTGCAAGATCAAACCAGTCAATCCTAAAGGGAATCAGTCCTGAATATTCACTGAAAGGACAGATGCTGAAGCTGAAGCTCTAATGTTTCACCTGATTCGAAGTGCTGACTCATTGGAAAAGATCTTGATGCTGGGAAAGATAGAGGGCAAGAGGAGAAGGGGACAACAGAGTACGAGATAGTTAGATAGCATCACGAACTCAATGGACATGAATCTGAGCAAACTCTGTGAGATAGTGAATGACAGGAAAGCCTGGCATGCTTAAGTCCATAGAGTCACGAAGAGTCTGACTGGATTTAGCAATTGAACAACAACAACAATTTGCCAGACCCTGGGGACAAAATGGTAAGCCTAGCAGTCCCAGCCCTACCCTCATGAAGGTTCCAGTTTCTCCTGGAAGAACTGCAGAAGAAAACCAGCAGGCAGTCAGCTTAAACCCAGACTGTGCTTAGTCACTCAGTCGTGTCCACTCTTTGCGACCCCACAGACTGCAGCCCGCCAGGCTCCTGTGTCCTAGCAAGAATACTGGAGTGGGTTGCCATGCCCTCCTCCAGGAGGATCTTCCCAACCCAGGGACAGAACCCAGGTCTCCCGCATTGCGGGCAGATTCTTTACCATCTGAACCACCAGGGAAGCCCAGATTCCAGGCTACAAGGACAGAAATAAACACAACCCTGAATCAAATTGTAAGAATGCTGCTCCCTAGCCCCCCCTGCTGGCCTCATCTTGCACCAGCGGCCCCAGGCCAGCACCTTCCGTGCCTGCTCCCATCACAAGCTTAGCTCTGTGGTTGGCTGCCGGACACACGCCTTCCTGACTACAAGCATCTGAGCTGGAGACGCCCTGACTCCAGGTTCTAGCAGCTGGAGCACACAGTTTAACGGTAAATCTGGAGTGGACCCGGTTTCCTCAGAGAGAAGGGAGTCTGCATGTCCAGAGTTCCCGGAGGTGGGGACTCGGGGAGTCCGGGCGCTGGTCGCAGAGGGTAGTGAAAGGCAGAATGGTGAAAAGGGCAGGAGGAGGCAGCCGACCAGATGTTTGCTGCTGTTCAGGGGACTGGAAAGTTTCCTGTGTGAGTCCTTTTCTCTGCTTTTAGGAAAATATTTCATGAAAGGATGTAGTTTTCTAAAATCAACTGTGAAAACTCAAGGGTATGCATGAGCTCCCTTCACTGAAGGCCTTTGTTTAATGGGATTATAGGAAGCTAATTCCTCTATGGCTCAGTCGGTAAAGAATCCGCTTGCAATGCAGGAAAAATAGGAGACACGGGTTCAATCCCTGGGTTGAGAAGATCTCCTGGAGGAGGAAATGGCAACCCACTTCAGTATTCTGGAAAATCCCATAAATAGAGGAGTCTGGCAGGCTACAGTCCATGGGGTCGCAGTGTCAGACATGACTGAAGTGACTTAGCACACATAGAAAGGTAGCTCATTTTCCTAGAGCATTGATTCCTGGAAGAAGTGTCTGGAGTCTTTCATGTATTCTGGGCAATTAGTGGGCTCTTAGGTTGACTTGGCTTATGTGAGAAGATGGAAAACCTTGGAATCTGGAGACCAAGTTTTCTCTCTGGTTCTGGCACTCATTGGCTGTGTGACCTTCGGCAAATTCCTCTCCTTCTCTGGGCCTTCCTTTCTCATCTGGAAGTACCCTTGTGACTCTAGTGTTCCCTGAAGGCTTTGGGAGGGAGATTCTGGGAGGAAACAGCGAGCAAAGCTCCAGTGGAGGTGGTGGTAGCAGGTCAGGGGAAGCAGGATGTGGGGGCCTGGTCAGTCCTTATCACATCAGGCTCCAGGGGAAGACAGGACAGTGAACCACAGTGATAGAAAAAAGGTCAACAACCCAGCAGTCACATTTCTTTCCCTAAGCACAATGACTTTTGCCAGGAACCATGAAGAACATTGAGAATGATTGCTTTCGCCTGGCATTTAAAAACTGGGTTGGTCCAAGTGAAAATGCCAGGGATTGTTAAACTCTTCACCCCTGACTGGCACCCACACAGCACAACAGTGACTTGCCTGCAGCTTAGGGGAGACAAAGTGAAAAAGAGATGAAGTGTGGGTAAAAAAATACAAAAATTCACTAAAGGGCAGTGGGAACCGACTGGTAAAGCCCTGAGAAATATAGATTGTGTGTTTCTGGATTATCCAAGGCAGAGCTGTATTGCAAAAAGGAAATCAATATAAGGGAAGTCAGAAAACCTGATTTCTAGTCCTACTTTTGAAGGACAGGGAAGCCTGGTGTGCTGCGGTCCACGGGGTCGCAAAGAGTTGGAATATGACTTAGCGACTGAATATCAGTCCTGTGTTCTTCATTTACAAGCAGTGATACTGAGCAAATTGAAGGCACTAAAAGTATGTACATTTCTCTTTATCCAGAACTTTTTTTCCTCCATGAAGCTGGCAGCCCAAGAATGATCTTAGTCCTTCTAACAGAAAGAAAACATACATAAGAGTAAAGCCAAACAAACTTGAATCGGTTCTTGCTGACTATAAGGTATTTTAAAAAAAGATCATTTTGTAATGTTATTATCTGATTCAGGAACCGAGAATAGTAACCTTTAGTTAGCAGTAAACAGACACCTACTTGTAAGTATCTCAAGTTCAAGTCTAACTTAAGAACCAATCAAATAAGAATACACTCTTTAGAGCAAAATATATTTTCTCAGTCTTGAGGTGAGTCTGCCCTAGGACGCATCTGAAATATTTATTTCACTAATACTGAAGATGTTATTGGTATCAAACAACATCAATTGCTTCAATGCAAACATTATTTTAAAAGTTACTAATGAGGCTGTTACACATGTTCTGATTTGTATACTTGATGGATTTCGTTTGTTTTATTGGGGGGGATTTTTCTCTTTAGGTTTATTAATATAAAGCAAGGATTATTAACCTAGGGTCCAGAAAGCCTGTGAATTTAAATGGAAAAAAATTACATCTTTATTTTTAACTGGACTTTAACATTTCCTTCCATAAATCCAAAATTGTATCAGCAGTATCTGCGACTTTGTCACCACCAATAGAGATCATAGACATTTTATATTTCAAATTACAGTTGTTGCAGATAGCATACAATAGCATTTGCACTCAAAACTACTTTGAAATTAGACACACTCCCCTGATCATGTTTTAAATACATTAATGAAAAGGACATGAATATTTCAATTTTTTAAATCTTTCAGTAGTAGTATTTAAATATCATATGTTTTCTTTACAATCCTATATACATTTAAAAATATCTTCCTGGGAAGGGGTCCACAGATGTCATCAGCGAGACTGATGGCATTTGCACACACATGAGTGCACACTCATAGTAAGAGAACTAGTCTAGAGGTGATCATTGACTTTGGTGCCTGAGATGCAAGACTGAAGTCAGAAAGTCCTTCTGGAGACACGTCCACTCTTGTTTTATAGTGAGGGACAGGGGAAGAATTCTGCTTCCAACTGCTTTTAGAGGATGGCTATTCCCCGAAACCTGGTGGCATTTTGCCCTTGTACCCTGCCCAGCCACTTTCATCTCTGTCACTGCTACAGGGACAGAGGGGCTTGTCTTAGCTATGGATGTATCCTCATTTTCTAAGACAGGGCCTGACACAGAGCGGGTTCTCGAGAAAGTTTGCAGAGTACATGGAAATATGAACTAGAAATAAATCCTTGTTGAAACAGACACACAAGTAGTGGTGCTGGATGAGGTGGGCTCGTGTGAGGGTGTGTGAGAAAACAGGCCGGGGATACAGGGACTGTGTTGGGGGGTGTGTGCTGCGGAAAGCGGGGCATTCTTTTTTAAAAGAAATTCAAAACAGACTTCTAGAAGGTCATTTTTTAAGAATCTTGCTGGCAGTGTGAAAACACACCCCCCCCACCACCGCCTGCGCATGGCCCCACCCGGCTTCACGTGGCCACCTCATTCTCCCCGCACGCAGGGCTGGCTCCTGGCATATATGAGTCTCTGTGGAGCTGGGACAGGAACCAGCAAGGCCCATCCAGACACCCCTCGGCGAGGGGAGAGTGTCTGAGGAGCCTCACCCAGGCTCTGCACTGAGGGCCTCCAAACACATCGCTGCCACCACAGTCCCAAGATGCCAGCAGTCCAGCTGCTACTGCTGGCCTGCCTGGTGGGGGGTGTGGGGGCCAGGACAGCCCAGTTCCAGAAGGCCAACGACCAGAGTGGCCGATGCCAGTACACCTTCCGAGTGGCCAGCCCCAGTGAGTCCAGCTGCCCTGAACAGGACCAGGCCATGTCAGCCATCCAGGGGCTGCAGAGAGACAGCAGAGATCAGCGCGCCACCCTGGAGGCCACCAAGGCCCGCCTCAGCTCCCTAGAGGCCGTCCTCCACCGCCTGACCTCCGGCCAGCCCACTGGGCCCTTGGAGGCCCAGCAGGGGCTGCAGAAGGAGCTGGAAGCCCTGAGGAGAGAGCGAGAACAGCTGGAAACCCAAACCCGGGAGCTGGAGTCAGCCTTCAGCAACCTCGTCCGTGACAAGTCGGCTCTGGAGGAAGAGAAGAGGCAGCTGCAGGCGGAGAATGAGGATCTGGCCAGGAGGCTGGAAAGCAGCAGCCAGGAGGTTGCAAGCCTGAGGAGGGGCCAGTGTCCCCAGGCCCACAGCAGCTCTCAGGACGTGCCATCAGGCTCCAGGGAAGGTAAAGTGGGGTGAAGGTGACAGGATTCATGGTGACCTGTTACAGGTGGCCCAGGCCTATCCTTCCTACCCTATCCTGTCTCCCAGAGACCACACATGTAGCATGAGGCAGACAAATGAAGGAGGGCAAAGCAACCACTTTCACATATTCCTAGTACATTAGTTCCTGAAAATTCTTTTGAGGTTAGTGGTTCTGGGTTCTTGTGCTCACCTGTGACAGTTTTCACCATTCACAGCAAAATAAGAAATAGAAGGACCAGATGAGATGCCTATATATATGATCAGTAGAAAGTTGCCAACTCTCCTTTTAGAAAACTATCCTTTTGTGAATCTTTGTTCAGAGGTTATTGATTCTTGCCTTTTGTTGTTAAAATGACCTCGATTTATGAAATGATTTTAGGTGATAGGGTTTTTTTTATGTCCTTCCTTAGCAAAATAAAGAGGCAGCAATCCTTTTGTGTGTTCCCTCACTATGTTGTTTTGGAAGTTTTCCTGCTCTTTGGGTAATCTGATAGGGATTGACTTAAATCTGTAGACTGCTTTGGGTAGTATTGCCATTTTAACAGGATTGATGCTGGAAGTTTTCCTGCTCTTGATTCAGTCTGAGAACCTCTGCCTTTATGTCACTTTGAGGTGGCTTTTGCTACCTCAGATGCTGTTCTGTTCCTACTGCTCCTGCCAGAAGGTGAGTCCCTGAGTGTCTGGGCTGGGGGCGGGGGCATTCTTCCCAGTAGCTGGGAAGACAGTATCTTTGTTACTTTTTGTGAAATTGTGCTCCCAAATATTTGCTGTTTAATAAGTTTTCCAGTCATGAGGAAATAAACAAGCAAATCCAATTATGGGACAACTACCCTAGTGTCTTCAAAGATGTTGACATCAAGAAAGAAAAAAAGGGAGGTGGGGGACCTTGTTTTCTATTAAAGTGGACCTTAGAGATGTGGTGACCAAGTGCAGTGCGTGACCCTGGAGGGGCTCCTGCATCCAGGGACACAAGGCTGCAGAGAACAGGTTTGGGATCCTTGAAGAAATTTGAATATAGACTACTTGTCAGATTACATTATTGGGTTAGGTTCAGTTTCTTGGATGAGAGATGGTAGTGTGGTTATGAAGAATAGCCCTGTTCTAAGGAGATACATACTCAAGTACTTAGGCGTGAGGTGTCAGAATGTCTACAGTTTACTTTAAAATGGTCTGACAAAGATTATGAATATATAAAGAGAGAAAGAAAAAGAATACAAATTGACAAAGTCTGAGCAATTGGTAAATCTAAGTGAACAGCACATAGGGGTTTATTGTATTAATACTATTCTTTCAACTTTTCTAAAGGTTTGAAAATCTTCAAAATAAGATGATGGGAAACTGTTTTCTAAAGAGAGGCAGGTGTGAGATCAGAAAACCCAAGAGTAGATTCCTGGGCATGACCTCGGGCAAGTCATCTAGTCTCTGCATCGTGGTTTCTCACCTATAACGTGGCAATGAAAAGTCCTATGATAAATAATGATTTTGTGGGGTTCAAGTGAAATGACTCTAAGGTATAAAGGATTTTTAAAATTTTTATATTGCTAGAGTTGGAAGAGATTCAGTTCTAAATTTTCTTTTTAAAAATGTATATTTATTTGGCTGCTTTGGGTCTTGTTTGCAGTGCACGGGATCTTTAGTTGTGGCATGTGGGATCTAGTTCCCTGACCAGGGATCAAACCCAGACACCCTGCACTGGGAGCATGGAGTCTTAGCCACTGGACCACCAAGGAAGTCCCCTAAATTTTACAGTGAAGGAAAGTAAGATGCCAAGGGACCCCATGTTGAAGAGCTAAGATTTATTGAACTTTGAGCACTAATGAAAGAATCATTATAAATACAAGTGTTAATGAGGCACTATGTATTTCAGACTGTTTACTGAATGAACAAAAGCAGTGTGTGTTTATGAAAATAGAGGCAACTTTTTTTTTATTGTCTTGTGGTCATTTAACAAATCTTTGGAAATTTATTCTATGTGTTCTCTGATTTTATATTTCTTTTTGTCCTTTCCAGCTGCTCTACTTTTGAAATAAAGACAACAGCCTATTAGAGTGAAGTCCAGACTTGGAAGCTCTTTTCTAGCAGTGGGATTTTCGTGAACAGGAAATTACATTAGTACAAGAATGTAGAGCTGGAAAGGGGGCCTCGAGAGCATCTGGCATCTCTGGCTCATTTGGGTAGATGTGGAAACTGAGGCCCACAGAGGTCACTCAGTGGTCCCCAGTTGCCAGCCCACTGGTGGCAGAGCTGGGACTAGAATTCAGCCCTACCTTGAGGTTCAGCTGCTCCTAGGACCCTGACGGGAACTCTAGTTTGTAGAACCTAAAGATGAAAGACAAGGGCTACATCGAAGTGACCGGGAAAGGAATGCTTGGAACAGAAGATGTGCTTCATGGTCCTAGATTTGAGAGTAAAGGGCTGCTTTGGGTCCTGGGCCTCAGGTGTGGGTGTACCATATGCGGGGGGCGGGGGCAAATACCTGGGGAATGGAGGGTGGGGGGGTGAGAGCTTACTGAGTGAGCAGGGGAAAGGCCTAAGTAGGTGGACTTTTTCTTACTCCACCTGTAATTCAAATTGTCACCACCACTTTATTGGGTAATTGTTACATAGGGAAAAAAGTCTCCATAGAATTATGGAAGACACTTGCTTTTGCATGTGTGTGTATGTGTGAGTTGAAATAAAATACACATATAAAATGTTGTATTAATAGTTTTGTAGTGAGATGTCTGGAGGGACTTCCCAAGTGGTCCAGTAGTTGAGACTCCCTGCTTCCTACTGCAGAGGCCATGGGTTCGATCCCTGGTCAGGGATTTAGATCCCACATGCCTCACAGCCCAGCCCAAAAGTTAAAAAAGAAATGTCTGGAAATCTTTTAGATAACCCCTAAGTAGAAAACACAGATTACTAGAGAAAAATTAGAGTTGCTTGTAGAGTCACAAGAGAAGCCCTACTTCCCCCTTTATTTCTCCTCTGCTTTGGACTGGTTGTCTCAGAGAACAGTCCAGCAATGTGGGCTTGTGGTAGCGTTTGTATGGCCACATCCCAGGGAGGAGCATCGGGGCTGGGGGGAATGTGACAGGGAGGGAAAGAGAACCAACAAGGGGTGGCGGTGAGGGGTGTTCTCCAGCGGGTCCCCATGGTAGGCAGCAAAGGCTTGACCCCACAGGACTTGAGGAGTGGAATGCAGCAGAGGAAGGGAGCACTCGTCCCTGGATCCCATGCTCTGTTGGCCAAGGATCATCCTATGGGATATATCGCATTTCCCTGATCCACAGATGGAGGCACCAGGCTGGTTCTTGCAGAGCCCGCCAGGCCCCTCTGTCCATGGAATTCTCCAGGCAAGAATACTGGAGTGGGTTGCCATGCCCTCCTCCAGGGGATCTTCCCGACCCAGGGATCAAACCCGGGTCTCCTGCACTGCAGGATGCAGAGGATGACCACCAACTGGAGGTAAAGTGGAAAGCACGCACCGAGGTGTCTGGCACACAGTGACCAGCCAGGGGATGGACTCTCACTACGAAGGGCTTCTTTTGCTTGAGTTAAAAATGTCATTTATAGAGTTGCCTGGTGGTCCAGTGGTTAAGACTCCACCTTCCAATGCAGGGTTAGTGGGTTCAATCCCTGGTCAGAGAACTAAGGTCCTACATGCCACTTGGGGTGGTCAAAAATTTTAAAAAAAAGTCATTTATAGATCAAAACGTCAACACGTATGTATCGTTTTTGTAACACGCATTGATTCCAGAGACAATAAGTGTTGGAGCAGCACTCAGGAAAGTAGTCTGCTAGCAAATCTTCAGTTTCCTAGAGTATTCATGACAACCTGTGACTTTGTCAGCACCCTTCTTTTTCCTCATCTTCTTCATGACCTAACTTTTTAGGCAGATAGAAAATAGCTACAATAATTATTATAATATCATTTGCATATACATGTTATGCAACCTTATGTACTGTATATATATATATTGCCTGTGTGTATGTGTGTGTGTGCGCGCATGATATATAAGCAATTTAATCAATTCAGGTTAAGCGCTCTAGCATGTGTCTATAAAGCAGCGGTGAGGGAGTCAGGACAGAGCATGAAGAAAATATTTCCAAAATTTTGTAACCGATATGAACTTTTCAACCACAGAAAGCCTGGATTTTCATAGAAACAACCCCCTAAAATTTTTTAGCTGTCCAATACAATATAGTTCTTAATCCTTTCATAATCTCTTTTTGTTTCCCCCTACACATATTCAGAATGAAATTTGAGTGGTTCTGAAACATTCCAGAGAAACTTTAGCTTTTTGTTACATTTTTTATTGAGGACCATTTCATTTTCAGTTTGAGCTAAGACTTCTGAGGCTCAGAGAGTTTGAGGAACTTGTCCAAAGTCACACAGTTGGTACATGGCTGGACAAAATTAGGAAAGTATGACTTCTGGCCCTGCCAGGCCCCTTCACACAACAGCTTCCCTGCGTTTTGGGCTCTGTATCCTCTTCCACAGGCTTCAGTTCTCATGCCCGGCTCTGCTCTGGGAATCTGACCGTTGCCAGATGCTCCTGGCTGACACAGCCATGCAGCAGCCAGCAGGCTTGCAAGCCAGCCATCCCACCTGCCAAGTGAGAACTGGCCTTGCAGTCATTCTGGAAGCTATTCCCTGACATTATGTTTTATTGTGATTCTTGTTTACTCCAAAGAAAGCCATGAGGCGTGGTTCCTGCAAAAAGTGATTAAAGGGGTTGGACTGGGGGGGGGAGGCAGGCAGAAAGGCCTCTGGTCAGAGCCCTGAGGGCCTTGGTGGGACCAGGAAAGGAACTGGGAACCAGTCAGGCACGTGTAGGGGGAGAAGAGTTGATGGCAAGATAGCTCTTTGGGTGCACCACCTGGGAGCTGTGTATGTGTGAGTCACCCACTGGAATCTGAGTCAGCTCCAGGAGTGGGTCACTGCCCCTATCCAAAGGGCTAAGCAGCACCTTCCAGGCTCTTGTAGAGCTTCTGGTAGCAGTCTGGGTTCAACCTGGAGTCAGAAACCACACAGCAGACTAAGTCAGGGATGCTTCACATAAAGAATAACTGATGAAAGAGAAGCAACTATGAGAAAGTAAACTCCGCAGGGCACCCTAGGTCTGTGTGAGAGGAACCAGGGGGAACACAGTCTTGGAATGGTCCTGGCTTCATGGAAACCCTGGAGGGTTTCAACCCATGAGACAGCAGAGAGGCTGGCTGGTTAGCCTGAGCTGGAGCTGGAAAGGCCACCTCTCGAGTCTGAGCCAGGCTGCAGAAAGCCTGCAGAGCCTGCGTGGGGGCTTACAGAGGTCCACAGAGTAGGGGGGTCCCTGTGCAGGGACTCGGGGTGCCATGTAGCAAGGGCTGTGGAAAGGTTATGGCCAATCTGAGGTGGCAAGGTCACAGAGGAACCAGGTCCTGGGCTCGTGCCTGGGCAGAGCTCCACCCGGTGTCCTCACACTGGTGCCCACCAGCCCAGCCCCTGCAGGAGACCCACTCACCTCCCCTGCAGTGTCCCTCCAGCACCCTCTACTGAGAAAGCTCAGCATCATGCTCACTTTAGAAGAGAGATGCCTTGTGTTTTAGAGAGCATCTATGAAAGAGTGCATCATCTATGCATTCAGCACTGACAGGCAACACATTTGTAACTGACACACAACCCCACCATAGGGTGGAAAGGTTCACAGCTGCCATGACCATGACAGATGTGGGTTCAAGTCCCAGTCCCACCACTTACCAACTGTGTGACCTTGAGCAAATAACCTCTCTGAGCCTGTTTCCTCTGCTGCGAAGTGAGGATCATAACATTCCCTTTGAGGACTGCTATGTGGAATACAAGAGCCCAGGATGGTACCTGGCTCATAGGAGGCACTGAGTAAGTGGCCATAGTTACGTTAGGTGCAGACTGCAGTTCTAAAGCCTTATTCTATTTCTCTAAAACTTGTGAAGGCAACAGATCACAGAAATAATTTATATAAAACTGCTTTGAAATGTGGAAAGAGCTATAAATACCTCTTAATCATCTCTTTTCACAAATAAATTGTTTTTCAGTATTTCAGTGCCAGTACTTTAGCTGTCTTCAAGGAAGTTACCTGGGGAAATGCCTGTAATTTTGGGTTCCTCCCCCTTCACATTTCTTTATTCCCTGTGGCTAAAGATGGGGTTTTTCTTTTTTATTTCTCTCTCTCTTTTTTGGCTGAACTACACAGCTTGTGGGATCTTAGTTCCTCAACCAGGGACTGAACCTGAGTCCCCCTGCATTGAAAGCACAGAGTCTTAACCACTGGACCACCAGGAAAGCCCCCATTTTTCTTAACTTTCTTCTCACTGACTGGCAGGTATACGCCTCTACTTTTCTCACTATATATCTTTTTTTTTTCAGTAAAATTTCTCACTGAATTATATGACCATCCTAGTTACATTCAGAGAGTGAAATAATTTGTATCAGATGCACAGAGGAAGGAGCTGGGTGAAGGGGAGGGCAGGCTCACAGTGACCCTGGATGGATGGCAACTGTGGGTCACGGAGCTGACGAGCAGGGAGCTAGAGAGGGCCGAGGGAACGCTCTAGCTTTGCACAGATGCCATTGCGATGATATTTCTCGCTAACCTGAAACCTCACCTCCACAGCTCTGCAGACAGGGAGGCGATTCAGGGAACCGAATTAATGTCCCAAGACTCCCCAGGAACCATTTGCATCGAATGTTTCTGATTCCCAAAATGAACCCATGTTACGTCTTGGCCGAGGACTTGCCAGACTGTGAATTCCCCTGGGAATTCTGAAGGGAACCAGGTGTATCTTATTCACCCTTTTTCTCCATATCTAGCCTTGCATGTCTGGAGAAGGAAATGGCAACCCACTCCAGTATTCTTGCCTGGAGAATCCCAGGGACAGCGGAGCCTGGTGGGCTGCCGTCTATGGGGTCGCACAGAGTCGGACACGACTGAAGCAACTTAGCAGCAGCAGCAGCCTTGCACATCAGAGGTGCTCCAGAGGGGCTGGCTGACGGGATGGATCAACAGCTTGCCCAGGCTGCAGACAAGGAAGACCTTCCACACCCCTAGGGGTGCTCTCAGTTACCCCTGGAGTTTGGGTGTATAACCAGGATGACCTCAACTGGTTACACATTTTGACTTAGAACTTTTAACTGCTCAGGCAGCCCAGCCTAGGAACATTCCCGGGTGTGAGGATGGTGCCTCCCACTCCCCCACCCCCCACCCCCAGGCAGTCACACTTTCCAGGAGGTCCGCTGAACCGATGCACTCAAGGGAGGGTGGAGACTGCGTTGGGGATCAGGGTTCGGGGATCAGGATGAGTCATGGCTGGCTGTGCTGCTGGGCCACACAAAAATACCACCCCCGGAGCCCTGGCCCAGCCCAAGCCTCAGGGCTTCTTAGCTGGGTGCTTTCCCTGCCTCCTTCCAGGGAGAAACATTTCCAGTACTGTAGTTCACCAAAGCTAAACTCCATAGACTGTAGCCCACAGGGCTCCTCTATCCATGGAATTCTCAGGCAAGAACCCTGGAGTAGGTTTCCATTTCCTTTTCCAGGGGACCTTTCCAATCCAGGTATTGAACTCCTGCATTGCAGGCAGATTCTTTACCATCTGAGACACCAGGGAAGTGCTTCCTTGAAGCTAAATACCAGCAACCATGAGAGGGCGCCTTGATTCCAGACATGAGAAAATGTGAAAGAATGTGTGGTTTAAGATTACTGAAATGTGGGCACATCCAGAGGGTTGAGTTCCATTACCTGAGAGGTCAATTTTGAAGGGTTAAGCTAACAAGTGATGAAAGACAGAGAATGTCTTCCTGACTCTCTGGGCTGTAGCCTCAGGCGTTGCACTGACCGCCCTCCCCCACCGTCCTGCACACCGGGGAACTCTGGGCTGGAGCCAGGTCCCACTGCCTGACATGGTCAGCAAGAGGAAAGGCCGATGATTTAAGCATATCTTTTGTATTCCAATACTTTGACATTTTGGCCTTGCTGCTATAGAAGGGACTGCCTCTCACAGGGGAGTATTTCTAAAGATAGTAAATGACTCACTGTAAGCACAACTCTCAGATGCAAACCAACCAATCCAGAGCCCACAACCTACCCTCTCTTCCTTCAAACTCACACTCAGGGCCCCTATTCCTCCACCTGATCAGTGGGGGCCAGGTACCAGACAACTGGGGACAACTCCTAGGGACAGCTTCAAAACCTTGCAGAAATTATCCAAAGTAACCAATCCTAAACCTGCTTATCCTGCCTCACTCATTCCTTCCCTTGGAAATCACAGTAAAGTGCTCGCCCATGTTCCCCCTCCCTCCTGACCAATTCTGGTGCTTCCCTGGGTGGCCCCCTGTGGAGTCGTGTGCCCCTTCCTCTAGAGATCAGTGAGTCTAACAACTGTCTTTTCAATGGCAATGTCTCCTGATCTGTTGGCCTCACCATTGTCTGAGTCACGGACTGTAATTGACCCCATGGACTGTTTGTGACCCCATGGACTGTAATCCACCAGGCTCCTCTGTCCATGGGATTTCCCAGGCAAGAATACTGGAGTGCGTTGCCATTTCCTCCTCCAGTTAATCTTCCCAATCCAAGGATCAAACTCTCATCTCCTGTACTGCAGGTGGATTCTTTACCACTGAGCCACCCAGGAAGCCTGTTGACCTCACCATATATGAACCGTAATCCATCCTACATTTTAAAACAGCTGCTCCTGTTATATTCAAGGGCTGCTATATGCCATAATGCTAATCAAAGTAGTAATAGCAGTGACTTAATATCTAACCAATGTCATCCACACCTCTCCCCTTCTCCATGATTCAAACCTCTACCAAATTCCTATAGGAATCCTTCCTTGTCCAAAGCTAGCTTTGGAAAGGGATCTGACAGAATATGTTACTTCTTACAGACACATCTGTATTGTGATAAGGGGGGAAAAAAGCAAGTCATGCAGGGAATTTGTTCATTGTTGAATTTCAGACATCCCAGAAGATGCTAAGGATCTTCCCAATATCCTAGCATCAGACCTCACCTACCCATAAATCAAACCTTCTAATGGGAACCATTTTAACTGTGTACAAGCTTACTTTATGTTGAATACTATACTCTGTGCTAGGCATGTTGCTATCCAATTTATTATTTGTGAGCTTTTTATTATGGGCTTCCCAGGAGACGCAGGGAATGGAGGTTCAATCCTGAGCCAGGAAGGTCCCCTGGAGAAGGAAATGGCAGCCCACTGCAGTATTCCTGTCTGGGAAATCCCATGGACAGAAGAGCCTGGCGGGCTACAGTCCGTGGGGTCACAAGAAGTTGGACATGACTTAGCAACTGAGTACACATGCACAAGTTTTTTATTATGGAATTTTTCAAACATTCACAAAAGTAGAGAGAATGACACAAACCCTAACATGCCCATCACCCAGCTCTGACAGCTGTCATCCCAGCCCAGTCTTGTTTCACTGTCCTTCCCCCTCCCCAAACCCACTTATTATCTTAAAACAAATCTCAAACATGGTCATATCTTTGAAACCCTATTTAAATCCCATCCTCAATATAGTCTAGCTTTAGACCTTCTTCCTCACAGTACAGTCTTGTCTCTTTCTTTTAATACAGTTGCTAAATGGAATCTGGAGAATGTGGACTTCCAGGAACTGAAGTCAGAGTTAACAGAGGTTCCTGCTTCCCAAATCTTGAAGGAGGGCCTGTCTGGTCATCCCAAGAGTGAAGAGGAAGGCACTGGTATGGAGTTAAATTTCTCCTCTTCTGTACCCACATGGTCTAGTTCTGTGCTCAGAGTTGGTCAGTTCACTATGCGGGAGGTGGGTGGACAAGTAACCTCCCTGGGGGCAGAGGCAGGAAAGGGGAAAAAGAACAAACCCCTTTTCTGCTCCCTTTCCAGGGTATACTGGCAGGGAGTCGGTCTTTCCTAGCAAAGCTCTGTATTTTGTCACTTACACTTTTCATGGAGACTGCACTGCCCCAGGGGAAGATGAGAGATGTACCCGTTTTTCCCACTTGGTTGTCATATAGAATGGATTGCGTCTGAAAAATGACATTTTTCAAGTAGATCCTTCATATCTTTATCTTGGGGCCAGACAGACACCATGTACCCTCCCAGCATATTGTTAACTGAAGGTATCCTTCTTTAATTTTGGGTACTGAGGAAAAGTAGCATTGCCCCTCTCCAAGGTATTCCCTGAAAGCCTGACTTTAAGATGATGAAGACTCTCTCTTTCAGAAACAGGGACTATCAACTATCGGTAATATTGACAGTTATTACTAGCACAGAAAGGCATGCAGGAGGATGGGGAGTTTTAAAATATTCAAAATAAGGTTCCTTGAGATATGGGCAACAAAGAGCTTCCACTTTCTCTAAGAAAACGGAGATACCCATTATAATACAGAGATGTGTTGTGATTCAAATAGTTCTCAAACATCTCATTTTAAAAATCATATTCAGATTTTATTGTATTAAAATGATGGCTGAAGTATGTGGTCCATTGGGGAAGGGCTTGAAAAACTTTGTTTTATTGAGATTATTATAGTGACTTGATTTTTTTTTTTCATTTATTTTTATTAGTTGGAGGCTAATTACTTTACATCATTGCAGTTTTTGTCATACATTGAAATGAATTAGCCATGGATTTACATGTATTCCCCATCCCGGTCCCCCCTCCCACCTCCCTCTCCACCCGATCCCTCTGGGTCTTCCCAGTGCACCAGGCCCGAGCAGTATAGTGACTTGATTTTATCTCACTGTTTAAAATAATAAAATAAACCAGACATAAAAATCATAAAGAGTAATATAATGAACACCATGAGAACTTGCTCAGGTTTAGAAAAATGTACAAATATAGTGTGAAGCGCTCTGTGCAGCCTTTATCTTTACAACCAATACCAAGTGGAAAAACAATCCACATATAAGTGGACTCATATAATTCAAGCCTGTGTTGTTCAAAGGTCAGCTGTACTTGGATTCACATTACATGGTGATCAAATAATATTTCCTAGGCATTTACTTTATACCAAGCACTTAACATGGATAATTACATGTAAAGTTTACAACCCTACTACCCAAAACATTACCCTTATCTCCCTTTACAAATGAGAATACTGAGTCTTAGAGAGTTAAGTAACTTATTGAAAGTCATATAAGTGGCAGATGGCAAAGCCCAGGGTTGTTTTTGTTTTTGTTTTGGCATTTTATTTACTAGTGTCAGGGCTTCCCTAGTGGCTCAGATGGTAAAGCATCTGCCTGCAGTGCAGGAGACCTGGGTTCAATCCCTGGGTCAGGAAGCTCCCCTGGAGGAGGGAATGGAACCCACTCCAGTGTTCTTGCCTGGAGAGTTCCATGGACAGAGGAGCCTGGAGGGCTACAGCCCATGAGGTCACAGAGAGTCAGACTAGACTGAGCGACTAACACTTTCACTAACACTTTACGAGTGTTACCTTTTAATGTCATTCACTAGCCAGGATAAAGTTTGAGGAAAAATTTTGAGGACAGTTTGGAGTATTGTGGAAAATGATATTTCATAATCTGAAACCACCCATTTGTGCTTCTCTGGACTGGCAAATAGAGGCCTGGGGTAGGGGGCAGTGTGCCTCAGTTTCCTCCCCAACAACTGAATTTTTATAATATCTCAAAATTGAAGGGGCTTCACTGGTGGCTCAGACAGTAAAAAAAATCTGCCTGCAATGCAGGAGATGTGGGTTTGATCCCTGGGTCAGGAAGATCCCCTGGAGAAGAGAATGGCAACCCAATCCAGTATTCTTGCCTGGAGAATCCCTTGGACAGAAGAGCCTGGCAGGCTGCAGTCCATGGGGTCACAGAGTTGGACACGACCGAGCCACACACACACACACACACACACACAGGAAAAAAAAAAAAAAGCTTAGGTTTAAACCTGGACTGCCTGCCTCTGGGGTTCTCACTTGTGCGGGTTCTGCCATGCTCCACATCCTGGAACGATGGTGAATACACAGCTTTTGCTTTGTTTTCATTCACCAGGATGCGGAGAACTGGTTTGGGTAGGAGAACCTGTCACTCTGAGAACAGCTGAAACCATCACCGGCAAGTACGGCGTGTGGATGAGAGACCCCCAGGCCGCCTACCCCTATACCCGGGAGACCACCTGGAGAATCGACACCGTGGGCACGGACATCCGCCAGGTGTTTGAGTACGACCTCAGCGGGCAGTTCACGCAGGGCTACCCTTCCAAGGTGCACGTGCTGCCCCGGCCGCTGGAGAGCACGGGCGCCGTGGTCTACCGGGGCAGCCTCTACTTCCAGGCGGCCGAGTCCAGGACGCTGCTCCGGTACGACCTGCGCACCGAGACGCTGAAGGCGGAGAAGGAGATCCCCGGGGCCGGCTACCACGGGCAGTTCCCCTATTCCTGGGGCGGCTACACCGACATCGACCTGGCCGTGGACGAGACAGGCCTCTGGGTCATCTACAGCACCGAGGCGGCCAAAGGCGCCATCGTCCTCTCCAAGCTGAACCCGGAGACGCTGGAGCTCGAACAGACCTGGGAGACCAACATCCGCAAGCAGTCTGTCGCCAACGCCTTCATCATCTGTGGCACCTTGTACACAGTCAGCAGCTATTCCTCGCCCGACGCCACTGTCAACTTCGCCTATGACACGGGCACGGGGAGCAGCAAGGCCCTGACCGTCCCGTTCAAGAACCGCTACAAGTATAGCAGCATGATCGACTACAACCCCCTGGAGAGGAAGCTCTTTGCCTGGGACAACTTCAACATGGTCACCTATGACATCAAGCTCTCCCGGATGTGAAAAGCTGCCAAGCTGTCAGAAAAGGCAGAAGGAGATGATGTTCATGGCTCTTGAAGGGAGAGCCAGTCAGCCAAGGCCCACACAGCTTTCCTCTGCTCTCCAAGCTTGCATTAACCCAGAAGAATGTGCATGGTCACCAGGTCTGACTGGGCGGGAAGAGCCTTCTGGGGATTGAGACGATTCCATGTTATCATAGATATTCTTTTCCTCTGTCTGCTCTTAAACGGATAGTTAATCAAAATAGTGTGACTTTTCTGGTGATTTGAGGCAAAAGCTATAATGTGTAGGGGGTTTCTTCATGAAAACCACAAGACTTTTGATAAATGGGCCTCACTGGCTAAAGAATGTATATTTGGAGAGGAGGTTGGAAAAACAGGTTGCCCCACGGGGAACCCAGGGCCAAGGCCTGCCCTTGCGTGTTGCCTGGTTACCATGAGCTATAATAACAAACAGCGCTTCTAAAGGAAAGGGGATAGTTCTTGTGGCAGCATGAACATGCATAAGATGTGTTTACTATAGTTGGCTTCTAATGCTTCAGGTGGATCCAGTTGTGTATGACAGAATCTTTGCCCCATGAAATAAAATAATCTTATACAACGTTCTCTTTGAACTTTGTGTGATAGTTTGTGGAAGAGAAGAGTACAGATTCTAACCATCAGATAATTCCTTTGGGTTGGGAGTGGTGATTGCAGGATGCTATGTGTATCTATGTATCTGTGTATGCTATGCTATGTGTGTGTGTATGTGTAACTGAAAGGTTTGTGCCTGGTTTTGCGGTCTTGCCCATGATGACACCAGGCAAACTGAGGAGTTCATTCCTTCCCACCCCCATCTCCTTTTACTTTTGGTCCTTCTCAAACAATCTTTCCATCTTTTCTCCAACTTACCCTCTTTCACCCTAGCTGTAATTTGGTTTTTATTTGCTGTCATGGGTATAACTTTCAAAAGCCAAGACCTCAGGTGAGCAGACCTAAGGAATTCAATGAGTTCTTTACCTAAATTTAATTCTCTCTTTACAGGTCTGTCTCCAAAGACATCAAAATATGAGGTACTGGGGGCTAAGACTTTAACATATGAATGGGTGGGAAAGACAATTCAACCCATATCAACTGGGTATTACCATTCTACTCCACTGGTAGCAAACTCTTAAAGACTAGAAAATCCAGAAGTCAGTGCGTGAACTCATTCACCTCTAAACACCTTTAGCTGCCAGGTGTTGAATAAAAAGTGGAGGGTGAGGAGACCCCTTTGGGTGGTAAGTGATCACAGCACACACACAGGGGAGGCAAACTCTGCTAGCACAGCCCTGTCCATGTTTATTTCCTTCCACCAGCTACTGCTTCCAGGTTTGGGACGGAAGAAGAGAGTGAAGAAAGGAGAAACAGAAAAGAGAAGGGAAGGGCATTAGACTACTCCTCCACTGTGGACTGTTACTTCTGGGGTTTTGTTTGTTTGCTGGTTCCTCCTTCTAGTCTGTATTAGTCAGGGTTCACCAAAGAAATAGAACTAATAGGAGATATATAGGTATAAGTACAAATGTAAAAAAAGAGATTTATTATGAGGAATTGGCTCATGTAACTGGGGAGAAGTCCCACAGTCTGCCACCTGCAAGCTGGAAACCCAGGAAAACTGGTGGTATAATTCCGTCTGAGTTCAAAAACCTGGAAATTAGGGGAACCAATGGGATAAGTCCCAGAGCAAGGGCAGAAGACCAATGGGAGGCCAGCAGGAAGCAAAAGGGGTGAATTCCTCCTTCCTCTGCCTTTTTGTTCTTTTCAGGCCCTACATGGACTGTATGATGCTCACCCTCCATGGGAAAGGTGATCTACTTTAGTGAATCCACCAATTCAAATGCTAATCTCATTCAGAAATACCCACTCACAAACATACTCAGAAAGGTTTAATCTGGCCACCCCTTGGTTGGTCCAGTCAAGTTACATGAAACTGACTATCATAAAGTCCCAACCTCTTGAGACTGCAGCTCTCCAGGGCTTACTTTAGGGTTTATCTACTCATTCCTCTGATGATCTTACCCAGCCTCATGGTTTTAAATGCCACCTCTATGATGATAATCCTTCAAATTTATATCCTCAGCCCAGACTGCTACTGAAATCCAGATTCATGTATTAATTAGTGATTAATAACTAGATTATTAGATTTTTAATACATGCATCTGGATTTCAGGAGAAGTCTGGGCTGAGAACATAAATTTGAAGAATCTACCTGCAATGAGGAGGCCCAGGTTTGATCCCTGGGTTTGGAAGATCCCCAGGAGAAAGGAATGGCAACCCACTCCAATATCCTTGCCTGGAAAATTCTATGGACAGAGAAGCCTAGTGGGATACAGTACATGGAATCGCAAAGAGAGACGACTGAGCAATTAACACACACCCAGACCACCATATTCAAAATTCCGCTCACCTGGTGCTTCCATGCCACTTCTCTTATTATTTTAAAATTTTAATTGGAGAATAATTACTTTATAATGTGTTTGTTTCTGCCACACAACAGTGCGAATCAGCCATAGGTATACACGTATCCAGGAACCTCCCTCCCAGCCCCACGCCATCCGACCCCTCTAGCTTGTCACAGGGCACCAGGCTGAGCTCCTGGTGTCATAGAGCAACTTCCCACTAGCTATCTATGTTACACATAGTAGTGTGTATGTTTCAGTGCTACTCTTTCAATTCATCCACTCTCTCCTTCCTCCGCTGTGTACACAGTCTGTTTTCTATGTCTGCGTGTCTACTCCTACCCTGAAAATAGGTTCATCAGTGCTATTTTTTTAGATTCCATATATATGCTTTAATACATGATGTTTGCTTTTCTCTTGCTGACTTACTTCACTCTATATAACAGGCTCTGGTTCATCCACCTCACTAGAACTGACTCAAATTTTTTTCCTTTTTATGGCTGAGGAACATTCCATTGTGTATATGTACCACAACTTCTTCATCCATTCATCTGTCAGTGAACATCAAAGTTGCTTCCATGTCCTGGTGATTGTAAATAGTGCTGCAATCAACACTGGAGTACATGCATTTTTTTTGAATTATGAGTTTCTCAGAGTATATGCCCAGTAGTAATTGCCCTGTCTTATCATTTTTAACTGTCTCTTTCTTTACATTTATCATCTCCTAACATATAATTCCATTATTTTTAAATATTTTTTTCTGTCTTCTCCCACTGGAACATAAATTTCATGAGGGCAGGTATTGTTTTGTTCAATAATATGTCCCTAGAGCAGTGCTCAGCTCACATAGTAGGTACTTGATATTTTTTGAACAAAGAAACAAACAGAAAAAATATCCTGGAACTTGCTCAGAAAAAAAATGAAAATAAAGCTACCACAAAGGGTACCCCTTCCCACCATTTCCCCTCCTTGATTCTACTCTTAGCTGGTTGTGTGACCTTAGACAAGTCACTTAATCCCTGTTCCAGAGCTAATAGAACTTTCTGTAATGAGAGTCATGCTATCTTAACACCCAATATGGTAGCCACCAGTCACATGAAGCTATTGAACACCTAAAATATGACTAGTGCAAAGAACTGAATTTTATATTTTATGTAATTTTGATGAATTTATGTTTAAGCAGCCATATGTGGCTAAAGGCTACCCTATTGGAGTGTCTAAGTGTGTTTTCTCATCTGACTGAGGATGAGGTGATGTGTGTTGAGTCCCCAGCTGGCAAGGACGGCAGCTCCAGGCATGCTCCCCTCGTCCCACGCTGCTGCAGTGGACACAAGGCGAGGAAGCTGACTTCCACATCAATAGCAGAGCTCTCTGACTAGGTGGGGAGGGGGATATGAGCATACTTACAAGGGTGGACTTGGAGAGAGAACACCCACAGGGGCTCGGTGAAGAAGTGAATGCAATAAAAGATGGCCTTTTGGGGGCCCAGGGCAGTTTCCCCCAAAATGTGCCTCAATGAAATATGGATTATCTTGAATTAAAGTTACTTAATAAGGGGCCAGTGCAAGAGGAATACTCTGACCCTCCTTTCTGTCTGACCCTAAAAGTAGGAAATAAACTTCTCGTGTAAAAGGACACCCTTATGGTCAGAGAGAGAATTCAGGCTGAGAAGCCTATATAAACAAATCTTTGTGTTTTTTTTTAAATTTACTGCTTGGAGGCCAAACTCCATTTAGATTCATTAATTGAGCACCCCAAACCTAAATTGTTTTATCCTGTCCACTCCTCACAAATGTATTGTTTCTTTGCCTGTCTAAAAAGAATAAAAACTTCCTGCTTTGGTCCCATTTCCATGACATCTTCACGCGCATGAATCAAAATTTGTTTCTCTTTTTTCTGTTCATCTGCCTGGCATCAATTTTATTATTAACCCAGTCACCAGAACTCAAGAGGGATAGAGAAGGAAATTTCCTCTTCCCCAACAGCACCTGAGGATATTTCTCAGATGTGGATGTGGATGATCACCTCTTTGATGCTTTCAGGCTCTTCACAAGAGCCCTTGGGAGTCCTTAGAGGTGCTTTGGGGTGTCTTGAGCATGGGATCTGAGCAGTAGTCTTCTCCTCCCTAACTAGGTCACTTTGCACTTGACTGCTTTTCCAGTTAAGTGTCTTCTGTTAGAGTTTGAAGTTTACTTAAACCTCCGAGAAATAAATTTTGAAAATATTGTCCATAAATGTGAAATACAGCCCAGTCCCAGCCCAGAAGACAGGACGTAGCTACAAAAGAACATAAAACTATTGTGCCCCAGGCTGAGGTTTGAAAACCCAAACCCCTCAGAGTTCTCTGGAACTCAGACCTTTAAATTCACAGAGGCCTGGCCTTTTCATTCATCCAAATTTATTAACAAACATTGGAGGCCTGATCACTTTTTTTAAATTCAAATACAACTGACTACCATAACTGTTCTCTAGCACAACAAAAATTGACTACTGAATATAAACATCAGAGAATTGGCTTGAGACCAAAGGTTAAGTGCCCGAGGAAGGGTAAACAGTGCTCAGTGGTGGTTGTAGAAGAAAACTAGGA